AAGCTTTTCAATAATTTTAAATAAAATGGAAAAATGTTCACAATATAACATTAAGTGGAAAAATACAAGTTCAAAGCCATATATCCAGTATGATACAAAACGTTTGAAATGCATACGTACTTCTGAACAGAAAAACAAACAGAAGCAAAAACACCAACAGTGGCACTTCTAAATTGATATCATTAGTGCCCTGGGCCTCCCTAAAAGAGAGAAAGAAACTGAAGTAAAAGTTTGCTACACCAGACGTCAATCAGCTTCTGGCTCAGGCATCCTACTTCAGCCTCCATGGGGGGAATTCAACTTGGGACTCGAGCTTTGCTGTCCCTTTATCATCACCATCTTTCTGATTCATCAGGTCCCCTCACTTTGCAATTCCTTGTTTCTCTTGACTCACAGGCTCCTTGTCCCTTTTTAACTCATAAATTAAAGGGTTAGACCAGATGACCTCATAGATCCTTTTACTTGCCAGGCCCTCACTGACTTACAATTGCCTTGCACCCAAAAAGCGTATATGTGTATGTTTCACTGCAGGGAAAATTTCACCAACATATCAACTCAAGGCAGCAAGGCTATGCCCAAGACCTCTTGTTGTTTCACCTCCAAGATCTCAAGCACAATGCTTTCCTTTATGGCCCGCCTTAATTTTCTACAGAATCCATTAATAAGGTTTGGGACCTCATCAACTATTTTCTCCACTCTAAGCCACAGTGCTTTTATACTTTACAGCTCTACTTCAGAAATAAAGGAAGTCACACCAGGAGGAATAAGTCAAGATTGGAAGAAAACCCAGGATACAAAAAAAGAGAGTCAGCCTGGAATATCTAAGCAGATGACATTTAATAGAGTTCAGTACTCAGATCTCAAAACTACATGGAAATGATTTAGTCTAGTAGCACATGTGAACACAGAGTTGTAATTTCAATTGACTATAACTTCCATGAGTCAAGAGTATGTGGCTGCTAGGGAAAAAAACCTATCACCTTGGTTTTTTGTTTTGCTTTTTTTTAAACAGGGTATGGAAAACAAACAAGTGAAGGTCCCTCTACTCTGTACTCTGTCGTTCCACAGTCCACACTGTATGTCGAATCCTGTATTCTGCACTGAGCGCCACACTTTAAGGGGGCCATTAACAAAATAAATGGAGGACAGAGGACTAAGAAGTTAAGGGATTTGAAATTGTCAAGGAAGAAACATCTAATGAAATGGGAATATTTAGCCCCCAGAGTAGAAGACCGATGAAAGGATGGCAATCTCGACGACTACACAGTCAGATTTACTACCTGAAAGTCAGGTAAATGAGTTAAGCTGGCAGGTAGGGACTTGAGCAAAATGAAGAGTATATTCAGCATATAAGGGACATTATTGGCATCACAAATGTGAGCTCTATCACCAAATGCTACACTTCTTTCTTAAGACAGAAATAGATATTTTATGTGAAATCTCACTTCTAAAAGTTGGCTTCCAATTTAAGTTTTTGTGTAAGTTGGGCAGGCTTTATTTGATCCATGCACACCAGTTTGCGACTTGTGTCATGGGGAAACACGACGGTCATCTTCAAACACCTCAAGAACTGCCACAGGGAATAGCAACAAATTTGTTCTGTGTGGCCCTAAAAGGTCACACTCACAGGGAGGCAATACACAGCTCAATCCAAGGGAAAGCTTTAAGAATGGGCTGCAAGAATGTAGTTGGGGACGGGTCAAATTTTGTTGACCAGTTCAAGAATCCTGCCACTTACTACATCTGACCTTGGTCAAATAACCTCCCCAAGCCTCAGTTTCTTTCCTACCTACCTTTCCCTTCACAAAAATAAAAATAAAAAGGAATATTGTAACTTTTAGCCTCCTATCTCAGTGATTATAAAGATCAAAATCTATGTAAGAAAAAACATATGAAAGTATTATATGACGACAAAGAAGTTAAATAGTAATTTAAGACATTATTATAATCTACCATCAAAGTGCGTTTATATATGTCTTACCTCTCATATTATACATGGTAAGGGCATGTTCCCAACCTAATTCTTTTTTTTTATGCTTCCCTTGAAGTATCAGATATTTGCTGAAAAATGGTTAAAAGGAAGGTGAAGAGGGTTGAAATGATGACAATGTAAGAGGAGAGGATAACAGGGAAAACAGACAACAAAGCAAACATCCAGAATGTTAATCATTATCATCACTGACCAGTCTAAAAGGTATTGGGCAGTCAAATGGAGGAATACGCAAAAGTACAGGCACGTGTGTGAGGGAGTGATTCTGCAGGGCAGGCGCTGGCAAACTGCAGCCAGCTGCGTGTTTTTGTAAATAAAGTTTACCTGGAGCACAGCCTTGCTAGTTCAGTTACGGATTGTATGTTCATATCATTGTACATAGTAGGTTTTGTTGCATATTATGAATACGCCGCTTTCACTCTGCAACAGACTCTACCATTATTCTTCCCACAGCTCTATCCCTGGAATGTCAACGGGCCATTTGGGTGCACAGGAGCAATCCACTACGCTGTACCTTATGGCCTCCGTGTAGGACAGGTAAGTATGTCACCACATGACTCTCCATGTTCCTCCTCTATTTTCAAGATTACAGATTTTTAAAATTCTGCTTCTCTTCCACCTAGTAACATCACCCAAGAGATGTGAAAGACTGAAAATGTGTGATGGGTCCAGACAGGGAAAAAAAGATCAAGATTACAGGTGAGGCTATCTCTGTCCCTCTTAAGTTCACAAGCTCCATGTGCCTGAACTCTGCTACTTTCATGGAACCTACAAACATGAAAAATCCTTTTTCCTCTTACTTAGCTGTCCTATCACTATAGGTTTTCAAAAGAAATTACTGAAAATTAGGAGGAAAACAAAAATAAAATGGAAAGAAATATGTTAACAAAAGTTTTCTGAGCTAAGCTTAATATCCAGCATAATGTAGCAGGCAATTTTAAGACTGTATGTAAAGGACAGGACCCTGGTCCCCATTCCTTGCCTCGCTCTGGAGTAACTGTATGCAAAGGCACTGAAAGCTTTACCTAGAGTAGATCTGGTGGGATCGTCATTTTTCTCCTAATACCGGATTCAACTTCAGGGAATACCTCCAACCCCTCTTCAGAAGACGACTTACCGGTCTCAACTTGGATAGGGACCCCACCACCCGCTGCCACACTCCTGCACCCCTTTCAATGACTTCCCTCTCTGCAGCTAACCTAGAGCCCTGCAGAAAAGGGCTTGTCTTTATCTAGTCTGCAGACGTTCTTCTGATGGCTTCAAACCATCCTTGGGGCCTTCCTCTCTCTCCAAGAAGTCCATTTCTCAGGCTTAACCCTACCCCTAACTCACTTGTGACCTTTCTGAAGTCTTTTTACTCAGAGATTAAATCTGAGGCCTAATCACTAAAAGATGTCAACTACATACCAAATATTTAATAACAGATTTCTTTCCCTTAGAAAAGTGAGGGGTGGAGGAATGAAGACACCTGCTTGTCAATCATTGTTAGTAGATACGCCTCTCACATCTTCGGGTATTAAATACCTAATGTTTAAAGAACTCTGGAGTTCCACAATTCTAACTCTCTTTCAAAAAGCATTTGGGTTAGCTTCTCTCCTACTCATAAGAATGTCCCCTCAGGCTCCCCCAGGCAGAAGAATGGGACAGTCCCACAAGATAAGGTATTTTTAACACACCACGTTAAACACATCAGTTTCAGAAAATGGTTTTGCTTTCATCAAGAAACACGTAAAAGTCCCCCTGCTACATACGTAAGTTGTTGAGAACGCCCCACACGTTACTGTCCCGGGCGCTGTGGTCGCAGTTACAGTCACTGTACCAGAATGCAAAACTGTCTAGCAAAACACAGAAAACTACAGACAGGCAAAAGAAAACATGGGGAGTCCAGCCTTCAAAAGTGAAGCTTCCAAAATTGGAGAAAGAATAGGACAAAGTGAGGAGAAGAAATGCTAAAGACGTCTCTTAAGTAAATCACATATGGGAAAAAAAATGGGCATGTGGTGTTCCGCGTTTCCTCCTCCACCAAGAGAACTTGAAGCCTTTAAAATTTTTAAAAAGAAAAACCGTCCCAGAGGGGTTGGGGGCAGGGAAATCCACTAAATTTAAGTGTTTTGAGAGCCACAGACATCTAAAAAAGAGCCGAACCGCCTGTTCCATGTGGGGAAGAGACAGAGCGCGCCCCATCTGCAGCCGGGCAGCCCTGCCGGATCTCCAAAAGGCTCCGGACTGGCACTGTCCCCCGCAGGGCAGGCCAGGTCGCAGGGCTCAGATTCCAGGCGTGTAGACAGCACCCCGCAACCCCTCCGGCCCCCGCAGCGCTAGGCCACCGCCACAGGGGCTGGGCCCGGGCGCCAGACCCCAGACGCAGAGAGCAGCAGCACCTGGACCCTTGGACAGGAAGTGGCTATTCTTACTGTGGCTCATCAGGAAAGGAGGCAAGCCCGGCAAAAAGAGCCAGAGGGACAGCAGCAGGCGACTCCGAGTGGAAGCGGCGCGGAGCAGATGAGGAGGGTGTGCGTGGGGAAAGGGGGGGCGCAGTCCGGGGCTGCGCCTTCGTCGGCAGATGATGCTCCCCGCCAGCAGCTGGACAAACACCGCGGGCAAAGGAGGGTGGAGAGCTTCGGGGAGCAGAAGCAGCTCAACAGCTGAAGCCAGGCTTCCAGAAAAAGGGGTGGAGGTGGGTCCCGAGCAGCGCAAACGGGGCGAGAGGGGGCGTGGGGGTGGGAGGTGCTGCGTCCAGCCCCACCGAGACCCGTTAGCCCTCCTCGCGGCTGGCAGAGGGCCTCGTGGTCCTCCGCCCAGGCCCCCGGGACGCCGGGCGGGCCTACTCCGCTCCGAGGCTGCCCGCCTCCCGCCGCCCCGGCAGCAGCCTCCCCGGCACAGCCGGACCCGGTCCCGCGCGCCGCGTCCCCTGCGCCGGGGCCACCCCGGGGTCCCTCCCGCGAGCCCTTCCCGGCGCTTCCCCCCGCTCCTCGGCCTCACGCGCCGCCAGGAGCCCTACCGGCTTCCAGTTCAGGGACGAGCCGCCGCCGCCGCCTGCGCTAAAGTCGGCGTCCCAGAAGCCGCTCCGGCCGCCGGCCGCCCGCCTTCCAGGCCGCGCCGGATCACCCGCTCCCCCTGCCGGCCGGCAGCCATTTCCGACAGGCGACTGCGGAACTTGCCGAAGTGCTCCGGGCCGGAAATGGCCGAAGCCGGCGCTCGCGAACGGGGGCGGGCGGGCGCGCGCGCGCTCGCGACTTTCCGGACCGCGTCCGCGACGGCGCGCGCCGGGGATTGTGGGAGGCGCGAGCGGGAAAGGCGGGAGCCCGTGCGGGCCACGGGGAGGACCGCGCTCCGGGCCCTGCGCCTCGCGTCCTGCTAAAGCCGCCTGAGGGGCGCGAGGAGCGGGCTCCCGAAAGTCCTGAAACCGGCCTGACGCCAGAGCCTCCGCCGCTTCGACAGGGTCGCGGGCCCGGGAAAGTCACGTCACAGCTCCCTTGAGTCAAAAATAAACCATCCCCAGGGAAAAGGCCTCCCTAAACACAGGGGCCTGTGCCCAGCAATGGCCTGCAGAGTGGAAACACTCTGAATACTGAACAACAAAGAAAGGGCCGGGCGGCGCCGATGCTTAGGAAAATCCCGGAGCTTTGCAAAAACAACAGGTTAATCCAGTTGTGGGGGATGATCCACCAAAACAATGAAGGAAACAAGGATACCGTTTTAAACACTTAAGAGCCAAACCCTGTGAACTCCAAAGTGCACGTACTCCACAGTCCCCAGGAACACGTGACTGTTCGTTCCCACATTTGTGGGTATGGACAGGACCTGGGTAACAAACAGGTGAGGGGGGGCATAGCTGCCAACTTTAAAAGACACCTGGTCACTACTGTTAAGGAAGAGTTAAAACCGTCTTTTTAAATCTATAACTGCAGTATGATCTAAGATCAAATTTGCCTCAAGTGTATTTTTTTTAATGTTTTTAATTCCCAGAGGACAGGGCTTCTACTCCACGGTTTCCTCACCAGGGAACCCCAAACACATCAGGGCCAAGGCGGAGGCCTGGCTCCTCTCCCTGAGCTTGGGTGGTCCGTTACTTTTACTAGAACTGCACCCCTGAGACGGGCTCCCCGGCTGTCCAGCCGTCCACTCGCCCTTCTTGGTGGAGCCCAGCCCAGACCTCCAGCTAGGAGGCTGGGAAAAGGCAGAAAGTTTGGGCTAAGGATTCCATTTGCAAAACAAAACTTAATAAACCCCTAGCAACCTGTTTTCTAAAGCAACTCACCCTCTCCCCATCCAAAACCAGCCCCTCTTCTTTCTGGTCCTCCTCTTCCTTTCCTCTTTCCTGACATCACTGTCTCCCTCTGCTTTCCTCCTTCCTCCTCACACGTCATCCTTTCCTCTCCTTTCCCCTTTATGACTATAAATATGCACTTTCAAAGTCCGACCACCAGCACATGTGTACAAAAGCAACTCCTTTCTAACTTTTGCCAATTTGTCCAGGAAAGAGAGGGGGAAGCGAAGTGTAAAAATCGGAAGCATTCAGGAAATGAAAATGGGGGAAACTGTTCTCCAAGCATCACGAATTGTCTTTCTTTTTTCTTACAGTTCACTCACTTGGCTGCCCTCCAGGGGTGCGTGGCAGCAGCAGGCCAGAGCCTGGCAGTGTGGGAGGAGACACAACAGCAGACGGGGAGAATTACCAGGTGCTGGTTCACCTCCACGCTGGCGAGCGTGGACGTGCAGATACCTGCTACCCGGAACACTCCGTCTTCTTTTACGTTTGAGTAACTTAACACATTGCTGCCCTTGAGGTCAGTGTATCTGATTTTAACAATAACCACGCTTTAGGAAGAAAAAGAATATTCACCTGAAATTTAGTGCATCCTTGACTTAATGGGAGCCCCGGCTGCTGCAGGGCACCCCTCCTCCTTTGGGTCTTGTGAGCCTGCACTCTACTGCTTCTCCTTCTTCCTCCCAAACGGTTCTATCTCAGTCTCCTCCTCGAGCTCCTGTTCCTTCTCTGTCTCCTATCGTGTAGGACTTGGGCTACTTTATTTTTCCTCTCCACACTGTCTTCTTGCCAATTGCAGCCAATTGCCTGCCTCATCTCCACCTGTAAGCAGATCCCTGCTGCAACGCTCCAGTCCCTGTTTTCCAGAGAGACTCTGGCCATCATCACACCATCATCATCATTCTATTAATACATATTTTATGAATACTTAATTGCCAGGCAATAAGCTAAACCCTTTATATGCCCTGTCTTACTTTAATCCTTACAGGGAAGTGTCAGTTTATAGATAGGGAACTGAGACTTCAAGAGGCTAGATGGAACTCTAAGTCTCTTTTTTTTGTTTGTTTTAAGAGACAAGCTCTTGCTCTGTTGCCCAGGCTGGAGTGCAGTGGCCTGATCATAGTTCACTGCAACCTCGAACCCCTGGGCTCAAGCGATCCTCCTGCCTCAGCCTCCTGAGTAGCTGAGACTACAGGTGCATACCACCACCCCCGAGGATAATTTTTCTACTTTTTGTAGAGACGGGGGTCTTACTGTGTTGCCTAGGCTGGTCTCAAACTCCTGGCCTCAAGTGATGCTTCTGCCTTGGCCTCCCAGAGTGCTAGGATTACAGGTGTGAGCCACTGCCATATTCTTGACCAGAACAATCTGGTGGTCTCACCAGGATCTTAGACTTAATGTATCCCACGCTGAATCCACCTTTATCCCTTCCCCTTTTGCTCTCCTTGCATGTCCTTGTTTATAGTAATGTTACCATTATCCTTCCTAACCCAGAAACTCAAAACCTGGCATCATCTTTGATTTCTCTTTTCCCCCACATTCAATCAATTTCCAAGACTGAAAGCCTTTACCATAGGATCTCTACACCCATGCTCTGCAATCCCATACCTACTTCCCTGATTCAAGTCCCCATCACTCCTCTCCTGGACTGTTGCCTCAATACTTAAGCAGTTTCTGGCTTGGAAAACACGATCACATTCTCCTCAAGAAAGAAGCCAAGGCAACAGAATGCACAATGAAGCTAGTCTTCACGGATCTCTCCATATTTTGACATTTTACAGCACTTATTATCTCTACTGTGCATTTTTTAACTTAATTCAAGATAGTTTTGCATTGTTTAACAATCATATATATAGATCTTTACCTGCACCAAGGAATTAGGGAAGAGCTGGATCCATCATGCCTTCGGTACCCAAGAGCAGGTGCCTGGGCCTTCTCTCTAGAGCACAATCAAAAGGACCGAGCATAAGCAGTTCCCTTCTTTTGGCTCCAAATTTTAAATTCCCAGAAGAGAGACATGGTCAGCCCAGCTTGGGTCACTTGTCCACCCCTTGATCAATCAGCTTTGGCTAAGCAGCAGGTCAGCCTGTTCTAAATGCGGCAGCTGGGGACTTATCCCCAGAAAAGAGGGAGGCACACACCATTCATTCATTCCTTTACTCATTCATTCAGTCAGGAAATAGTTGAGCACCTACTGAAATATACACAAGGTTCTACCACGTATGCAAAACGTTTAAAATATGGTCCTGCCCTCAAACCATGAAAGTCAGTGCGTGAAAAAAAGTCACCAGATAAAAAGCCCAACAGTACTCACCCGTAAGAGACTGTTGATTCAGTTACACGTGATGGAAGGTAATCCACTACACCTTGTATAAACCTCTGGTGATAAAAGTCGTCAGCAATAACGTACACGTGTTCACAGCAGCACTGTTAGGAACAGACAAAAACAGAAAACTACCTAGATGTCCATCAGTGGTGGACTAGATGAGTACGGTGTATTCGTACACACAATACATTATAGCGATGAAAATGAATGCTCTACAGATATACACAGTATTGCTGAATCTCACAGTGTTAAGAAAAAGAAGCCAGACACACAAAAAAGTAGATAGTGTATGATTCCTTTGAAATGCGGTATAAAAACAGGCAAAACTAATCCCCCCTTAGAGCGTTGTAACTAGAGGGGAGCAGAGAGACCTACACAGGCAGTGATAATGCTGTTTCTTGAGCCAGGTGCTGGTTACACAGGTTTATTCAGTTTGTCAGATTCATCAAGCTGTGTACTTCCCACATGTGCCCTTTTCTAAATGCCCTTTTCTAATATCATCCTTCAATGAGTTTTTAAAAATAAGTAATCATATTCAAAGCAAGGAGCCTTTAGTCATCCTTGATCATGACCATGATTATTCTAGAGTTGCCAATTACTGCCACCACCACCCCCCATTACACCACCTTCTTAGAGAACCTAAGACACTAGCAGCCTTTGGAAGGAGCCACTGTACTTCTGCATCACCTCATCTGCTGTGGCCCCAGGTGCCTGGACTTCCTCTCACCTGGAAACTTGGTGAACTCCTAGTGTGAAACAGAGTCACGTGATGACGAGTGCCTGACCTAGTAACTTACACAGACTTTGGGAAAAGACTTCCTGGACACGTGCACGGTGACAAGCCAAGCAAGCTGCTCTGCAGAAAATAGAAGAAAATAGAGCCTACACAAGAAGGGAGCAAATCAACCCGCGAAGAGGGAGGGAGAAGCCTCAGATGCTGTTGACTTTCAGGCTCTGGTACCTACATGTCCCAGCTGTCACTGGGGGTCCCTGAGGTCGCTTATGGCACCTTACTATAAATATTTATTTAAGCTAACATGAATAGGTTTCTGTCCCTGGCAACCAAACATGCCTTTAGTGACTAAAGTTATAATATTCTTCCCTGAAAATAATTGAGTTGTTAGTTATGTTAGAGCCAGGCACTGCTCTAAGCACATTTCATGTATTGTCTCTTGTATTCCAATCCTAAACAGTAAGGAACATTATTATTCCCATTTCACAGAGGAGAAAACTGAGGCCCAGAGAGGTTAAGTAACTTTCCCAAACCACACACCTGGTAAGCGGTGGTACCAGCTTTTGAACCCAAGCTGTCTGACTCCAGAGCCTGAAATCTTAACAACAATGCTGTACTGCAGGTAGAGACAAATGCTGACAAAGGTAATGTGAATTGCATGCCGCACTAATGGATTTAACTGAGGCATGTGATTTGTTAAATGAGTTCAAATGTAGAAATGATACAAAAGATTGGCTGTCTAGAGAAGTTAGTAAGCATTTCTTTCTTTCGCAAGGGAATTATAGTTTGAGGTGTAGATGTTAGAGCCATATAAAATCCATAGAGAGTGACAAATACACTAAACCAGACTGTC